TTGCATTGCACTCTCTTCTCCTCGTTGGTTAACGGGCCTAACATCATGACAGGTGTGCTTCTTTCTGCCGTTCAGTAATCATGAAACATTCTCCTACCAGGCTGAACAAGATCCAGGGCGACCATTAAAGGTCATGCATCTTTAATAAGACGTTTGTCTGACAGATGCAGCACGAGGATGGGCTTAAACTGAACATGTCCAGGAGGAGAAGAACCGGTATTTCATGTTGCTTAATGCAAACAAGCAGCCAGCAAAAAAAAAAAAAGGATAAAAGCAAGTCAGTTAAAGAGACCCCAAACTGAAGTCATTCTTAGTACAGGTTGTGATTGCCTGACTTTAATAATCAACATATTAGTGTATTGTGGATAGATCTGCTCATGTCAACTAATGTAAGATGCTTTCATCAGCAAGAAACATCAAAGTATTTTGGTGGTTGTATAACTGATGGAAACACACTGCTGCTGTCATCATCAGCTGTTACTCTGCACTTATTGAGAAGCCATTCAGACAGCTAGTATCACACGGGGTTAATAAAAACAACTAACCTATTAAAACGAGTTTTTTTTTCTCAATTGTCTAGTTCCTGAAAAGATTTTGATCGTTATCCTTCATGTTTATTTTGTTCCAGTTCATCTTGAATAATTTTTTTTTATGGCTTGTGGTACGCTTGTCAAGATTTGTGACACAGTCTTATCGATACCATAAGCAAAACAATCTCCATTATTTAAGCTTTGAAAAAAAACTAGTCATATTTTTAATAAAGAGAGAGCGTTGTAGAAATTGCACAAATAGGACAACTGAATTGAGCAGGAGTTTCAGTGCATTTTCTGGTGATTGAAATTAATAAATTACCACACACTGGATTCCTAGGATTTGTATTTTTTTTTTGTTTAAGCTCAGTCAATCAATCAAGCTTTATCTACATATCACCTTTCATACAAATGAAGTGCAATTTAAAGTGTTTTTACAGCGATTTAAAACAAGAACAGACGTAAAATAACGACTAAACATGAATTTAAGAGTAAGAGACTCATGCACACCAAATAGCAATAACAATGTAAACAAACAATAAAAAGGAAGAATTAAAAAAAAGAATAAGAAAGAGGCTGGTTACATTTTATTTTTAAATTAGAATAGAGTATCTTTGTTTATAATAATCATGTGTCATAACGACTGAGGAGCAGGCTAGTTGCTGCTTTAAAGGTCAAAATAAACATTTTAAATATAATATTGAGCGATGCAGGACAGGCAGTCAATCCAGATTAACCATTAATGAAACAGCAAATATTAACTAAGCTGCTATTTTAACAACTACGACTCTGAGAAGATAAAGTTTATGAGCATTTAAAGGTTTTAGTTGTCGAGCAGTGTGTGTAAGTTCAGGCTGAAAGAAGAAGCCGGTTGTTCGGATGCTGCAGACGGTTCCTACCTTCGCATCGCTCAGCTCCACCGGAGATAAAGCTCTGCGTGCCGCTGAGCCCAGTGCACATGAGGGGTGAGGGTCTGCATCGTTACACCGTCTCTCTTATCATATCTTCATGCCAGAAAACAAAGAAAGAAATCTACTGAAAATGATGAGAGGGGATCCTCATCTGAACTGTGTCAACCCCCATTACACACACACACACACACACACACACAACACAAGAGGATAACAGACCACATGATGCAGCTTACTTCCGGGGGGAGGGGCTCTCACAGACTCGGACCACACTGTAAAAAATACTCTGTTATATATATTAAAAAAAAGCAAATACACTGACAATGTGGAGTAAAATTATTATGTGAGTATAATAAGGGATTTTTTTAATTCTATTAAAAGTCAAAGTATAAAATGTTTATGGATGCATTTCTTACGTAACACAATCCTCTTCTTTTGATTTGATCAACAAGAAAGGAAATCAGCCAATCGTACATTAATGGAACTGAAAACAGCTCTTGTTTGATGTTTTTGCTTAAAAAAACTTCATAAATAGGGAGGGCCTGTAGCCTAGTGGCCATGCGTTGACCCCTGTACGGAGGCCATAGTCCCCAAACGACCGACCCAGGCTCGAATCCGACCTGTAACTTCCCACTCTCTCTCTCTCCCCGATATCTGACTCTATCCACTGTCCTGTGACTCCTGTCAAAAATACACGTTTGAAAAAAGAACTTCATAAATGATGGTAATACCTGCAACAGATTTCTTTATAATACTAATAGTTATTTTGAATATTATAGCCTACATTGGACCTACATAGGCTGAATACTCGAGGAAGCTTAGCAAAGAACAAATTTACTTTTCTTTAATAACTTGTAACTACTAATTGTTGCATCGATAATTGCCAGACAGGTAATAACACAATTATGGTCAATAACCCACAGTGGACCTGAAGTGCAAAGCACAACAACAAATGAGAAAACACACACATGTTTTTACACACACACACACACACACACACACACACACACACACACACACACACACAACACACACACACATGTTTTTACACACACACACACACACACACACACACACACACACACACACACACCATGTTTTTACACACACACACACACATGTTTTTACACACACACACACACACACACACACACACATGTTTTTACACACACATGTTTTTACACACACACACACATGTTTTTACACACACACACACACATGTTTTTACACACACAGGTTTTTACACACACACACATGTTTTTACACACACGTTTTTACACACACACACACACATGTTTTTACACACACACACACATGTTTTACACACACACACACACACACACACACACAACACACACACACACATGTTTTTACATACACACATGTTTTTACACACACATGTTTTTACACACACACACACACATGTTTTTACACACACACATGTTTTACACACACACACATGTTTTTACACACACGTGTTATTATTTTTTTATTTGCACAGTATGTAAAAAAAAAAAACATATTAACAAATAAGAAAATAGACAACATTCAGTTCAGGAAGAGGCAGAAAACTCAAAGAGCTTCGGTATTGCAACTGTATTGTTTGTAAGAAAATTATGAAGCACATTTTCACCCGAACTGATTAAAAGAGTGAGTCCTGATTAACGTGACTCCATAAAAGCCTAAAAAAACATTTTTTTAGCAGAGGTCTTTGAATGCATCACGAACATAACGTCCTCGCGGGGCGCCCCCCCTGCTCGTCACTACATGTTTTGGACCCGAAAGGACTTTTAACGACATTAAATACACGTCAAGAAGCTCCTTTAACAATACCTCAACCAAGCTCTTCATCTTTACCTTCATGGTTTTTATTTTTATGTTGCTAAAGCGGAGCTAGCAGTAGCATTAACTCACCATGGTAACGCCTCCTCGGTGTTGCCTCTGGGCTCGGGGTCAAAGTTCAACAGGGTGACAGTTAGGTTAGTTTGTGAAAGTCCGCCCGGTGAAAGGTTATTACCCGGCTACGAATAACCCGACACCTTGGTTTGCACTCGCTGCAGCTCGCCGGGACAACAACAACAACAACATCACCGCTACCGCTAAGTTTGTTGTGATTTTGTTTAAAAGGAAACCAAAAAAAATGAGTCCGAGCGGAGAATCAACCGAGGAAACCTCCAAATCTTCAGTTTCCACACAGGGTAACGCCTTAGACCAACGACAGAGGATGAAAATTATCAACGTCGTTTACGTCATCGCCGCTCTGGATATCACATGGATGTTTTTGCAGTTTTCTGTAACCCCTGTAAGTATTTCTGTTATGTCAGCGCAGGAAGCTGAGATTTCCGTGCCTGCCTTGAATGTGCACGCATAGACGGAAGCCGCACATTATGAAGCAGTAAAGTCAACACCTTTAAACCTACAAGCGCTTTATAGTATAAATGTTTCCCGTGATGACAGATTGTGTTTATTGTGCATTCATTGCGGACTTAAGAGTGATCATTTGCATTGTATGACACTTTGAGATAAATATCCTTTTCCTTAGCTGCGATAACATCTTATGTTTACTGCAAAAACTCCCTCAACCTTTCATGTAAAAAGTTAGAGACATAATATCACCAAAGTCCGGCTTTAAAAACGTTAAAGAAGCCAAACCTAACCCTAAGTATAGACGATGTATCAGAACAAATCAGAACATTGCAAATAAATGTACTTTATCAATCCGTAAAGTGTTCATAAATAGCCTACTGTTAGATTGGCTTATGTCATTGTTATGTAACATATTCAATGGTGGAGGACACATTTAATAATCTTTCACTGAGTTTATAAGTTGCCTGCTTATAACACTCTGGGGAAATACTCCAGGCATTTATTTAAAAAAAAAGAAATCAGTAAAAGTGTATCACTATGCAGAGACAAATATTAGTAAAGAATCAAAAAAACAGAGAAAATCCCTTAAAATAGTTTATTTAAATATATTAAATCATCGACTGATCATGCAACCATGCAGGATTTGATCGTGGTAGTCTGGTTGAGGTGGAGCTCGAGTCTAAGCTTGTTAAAAGTAATGATTACCTTTTTATTGGGGATTAATCTGCCGCTTAATGTCTTCATTACTTGACTGACTTTAAAGTTAATTTAAAAAAATGACAGCGCAAACCTCTAAAATGTTACAAAAAATGTAAAATTATGTAAACATTTGTTTCTCTCCTGAGAAGCCAGAACCAATTAATTTATTTATATGGGCTCGTAAACAACAAGGGAGTACCTTAAGTGTGACATGTAGGTGATACTTATATATGCTCCTAAATGTTGACCTCCATCAGGCCAGATCTGTCCCCTGAGCCGCTGTTCTAAATGAGGTGATGGTAACGTGATTTCAGAGTTCCTTTACAAATGTGCAGATTCACGTGGATAGTTTTTTGATGTTCTAAACTTGTGTGACTTGTATCACCTTTGGACCAGAAGCTGCTGGGACTGCGGCAGAAATGTATTTAAGAGACGTGATAATGCATTATAATAAAGAGACACACACCTGTAACCTGTAAACCATAGTGCAATAAACACAGAACAACCATTCATATGGTTAATTCATATATAATATTAACACAGCATCTGCACACTTTAACCTGAAGTTGACATAAAAGTCTGAAGGGAAACGTCACAGTGAACGGGTTTAAAATATGTTTCTGCCCCTAAATGCCTTCACCACTACAAACATCACCCCCCCCCCCTTCTCAAATACGGCTTAAAGTGATGTTTATCAAGGACAAACTGAAAACACTTTAAAATAACGCCGTGTCTGAACAACATGAAGGCAGCTGATGTAATGCTGTTCCTTTAGAACAAGGAGAGATAATTGTAATGTAAAGGATATGTTTTTCCTGACACAGGATGATATTCCTGAAAGCTCACAGGATGTCAACATTTGAAATCTTTTTCAGAATTATCCTGCATCCTAGTTGTACAAAGATTAAGCCTATAAAGTCCACAAACAACATTTCTGTGACTTTATGGAATAAAAAAAAGTGCTATTAAAGTCCTCCATACGAGTTTAACTGTAAGTTTAAGTTAGGGAAGTGAAAGTCAGTAGATGTACTTTAAACACCTTTCAGACTTTTTTCTCCAGATTTTTTATGCTGTAAAATCGTGTTAACCAACGAATGACTCCGAGCCGGGTATTTTGACATGAATAAAACTGTCTCTGGAGTAAATTTTAAAGATGTATTTTCATGATGTTGCTCTATAGTATTTGGCAAAGAAACTCGGCTTCGACACCTTGTGGTTTGGTTATTTACAAACCATGGTAGGTGTAATTCAGCTGTTCGGGGGACCAATGTTTGGAAGGTGAGTACAAAAAACTACTTGCAACATAATGAAGTATCTTTGTCTCTTTATGAATCAAATCCAACCTGCACCGTCGTCTGGAAGAAAACTTGTGGTTTCTGATTTTTTTTTTAATCTTCTTTTTGGAACAGGTTTGCAGATCTATTCGGAGCACGAGTCGCCCTGTCTTTGGCGTGTTCTTCAACAGTTGTTTTCTTTCTGCTGCTGGCCGTAGCAAACCACCCCGCCATGCTGTTCATCCACAAAATCCCCACAGTCTTCATGCACGTCCTGCCTTGTAAAGCAGCACACATATGATCCTC